CTTGGCTCAACCCTGCTTATCCGATTCAAAAAAAAATGTTTTCTTTGCATTCAGATTCTCGATTTCATTTCTGCGGGTTAATCAGGCGTTAAGAAATATATTAGATGCCAGAAAATTTCGTGCCATTGTTTTCCAAACCAGTTCTGAGAAACCGAAAATCTTGGCAGTACGTTATATATCATTGTAAAGAAGTTTCCTTCTACAATGGTATATTCTACAACGGTATACTAGGCTTATTCGGTCATTTTGATCTTTCAATCTAGAAAACAAGGCTGTCGCTTAAGTTTTTTCTTTCGGTTTCTGGAATTAATTTTCAAATTTTCAATTACCTCTAGTTTAACAAACCCAAATCTTTGGAGAAGCAAGTGTACTAATATTTTGTAGAGGAAGGTCTCTGTTTATGATATTCAACGTGCTGCAAAACTTCGGTTTCTTAAACCATTTTTCACTTCGAAGAAAATAGATAAGAAGATATATGACTGCAGACTTTCGATAACAATTCGCTAATAGTAATCATATGAAAATCAAGTTTTTTTTTTTGACAGCCTATATGCGAAAAGCAGCAGAAATTCATTTGCCCTACAGTTTCCAAAACTAACTTCTACATAAAATTTCACAATCATCGGTTCAGCGCGACTACCGTCTTCGGTGAGCATTAGAAGAGTCACATGGGAAAAAGAGTTAGAGATAAACCTATTTTTATTCGAACGACATAAGTCAAAATACCACAAAATGAAAGCTATGATGAGATCATGACTCCAACGACAACAGCTTCTCTCTATAGCAAAATAAAAACCTCAAAAAGGCACTTCATAGGATCATATACTCAGCGAGTGATATGTTAGAGAAATGCAAAAAAACTAGATGAAAGTAGTGGAAAAGACACTTTGAGAAATTTGAGTAAACTAAACATCTAGCGAGAATCGTCAGAACTTCAATATTATTCTCAAAACAACACACCGAGTCACAGTGGAAATCTGAACATTTGTACAATTTCTAGGCAATACGCTAGATTCACATTTTACACGAATGATGAAAACCCGCTGGAAAGATTTGGAGCCGGTTGGGGCTGCCAAGTTGAGGACGACTCGCTACCACTCTCTGTTGAGACGGCTCTGGACGAAGATGTGGGAGGAGGAGGAGCAGTGCGGATCGCTTCATTAGCTTTTACACGTCGCCAAGTATCACTGAAAGGGGAACTTTTGATCTGTAGGGACAATGTTGCAGCAATGTGAAAAAAGCGTTTTCGAAAAATAAACGCAAGCACAATATCTTTTAAAACACTGAAATCGCAAATCCTCACCGATATTGGTCAGTGCTACCGTAATGACTGGCAATGTTATCAGCGTTGTTCTCAGCTTCCTCTTTTGTGCTACTACTTTCTTCTTCATCGTCGAACGAATCATCAGCAAATTCTTCTTGTTGAAGGGGATTATCTGTATGACTGTAGCCTACCCTAGTACTATAATCTGCTCGGGAATATTGTACCCTGAAAAATCACTTTTGGAGCAGAGAGACAGCACTGGATTGAGCGAAGAGATCAAAAGACAATGTAAGACTGACCTGCTTATCGGATTTCCATAGTCCGAACGACTACCGTATTTGGACCTATTTAAAATATCGATAGAGTCACGCTGAGATACATAGGCACTCCCTCTCACGTCTCTTCCAACTAGAGCGGTGAGCCTGGAATAACGCGGAAATTTGGTCTCATTTTGAGTCCTGAATTTGAAAAAGAAGGAAGTACTATAGGTTACTAGGGGTAAGAGATAAGAGAGGGAGGAAAAAAGAAAATTTGGAGGAAACACGCATAGATTATATTTTGCAAAATCAGAGAGCCGATTAAGGACCAAAAAATGCTGTAAAGGGAAAATAATGCAAAATCTAATGATCTAGATTAAAACTAACTGTCCGCCTGCTAACCTCTGCATAGCTTCTTGGCTTGGCGCAGGAGGTAAAACATCTGTTTCCAGTCCATACATATTCACTACACTTCCGCTACCATCGATACTTTCGCGACCCCTTAGCCGCTCATGATCGCCTAATATGCTGCCATATGCAGGTGGATCTCGATCAGAAAGCCATGACTGCTTCGTTCCAGGTCTCGTCGACAACTCATTTCTAAAATAAAACAAATAGCATTATTCAGAGTTTCTTTTGTAAAAGTGAACTTACCTGCTTCTGCCCACGTCTCGATGGCTGGCTTCCATTTGGAATGCCACAAAGTTCCCATTGGCCAGGTGAATGCTGTCAACAGAATCGCGCTTTTCACGTTTATATTTAGCAGCCGATCCTGTGACAAATGTTAGAAGATTTTGAAAAAGTTTACCTCAGAACTTACCGGTTATACACAAGAATGCCACCACCAGTACTATAACAACAAAAGTTGACATAGCAACCATGGCTATAAACCACCAAGTAGTATAGAATGGATCTTCTGGTATAAAAGCTACAAAGACATACATGAGTTATAAAATGGTAATAGCTCATATATCGTAAAATTCACTAGTATCTAATTTTCTTCACTTACCTTTCTAATCCCTCAATGTGGAATGATCATAAACGGAACTACCCACCTGGCACAAAAAGCTGTTCTGTCTCAGCACTCGGTTTTCCGACTCCTTTTTCGTTCCTAGCAAACACACGGAACACATAAAAACTTGAAGGCTCGAGTTCGCGATAGCTGACCTGAAGCATGAAAACTTCTAGCAGAAAGTAACAGAAAATGCTGCAAAAACAGGATCGGCTTAGTCCGTCAGAAAGTATACAACTTAGACAACCCTGAAAGAATTTACCTCATGGTGTTGACCAGCTCCTTCAACTACCCTCAACGTAACCCAGATTCCATGAATATGAGTTGGTCGACCAAATGAACGTTTGTGCCGCTTTTTCTGCTGGACTGCATTCGTTTCCTGCGAGAAAGTTATTCATGGATTGCTGACTGCTTAAGAGAATCAAAACGCAAAAAGTATGGAAAATCGCGTAGATTATGATTACAAGAAATGCTTAATGATTTTGGTCGTCAAAATAAGACACAACTGTTAGATGTGTCTAGAGTGGCATTTCAATATGCCTTCCATATTTGCTAAGCAATTCGTTGAAAAAAAAAAACTTAGAAAAAAAATTTCTGAGGAAGTAGAGTGCGTAATATGCCAATGTTCGAAAACTTGAAAATTACTCAAAGAAAACCACATGCTAATTTTTGTTTCTGAGAATTACTGAATTTCGAGCATATGAAAAATTTAGCACATTGTGAATGTTATTTTTCGTAGGAAGAAAAACTTCAAAAAATCGTTCAAATAATCCGAAATTCTAATAGGTAAGCTAAATGGCTCCAGACTTTAGAAAAAAAACACGATGAAATCTTTTGCATGAAATAATAAACAGATTTTCTTTACAACTTCTTCAACTTGAACTGATCACAAAAAAGTGTAATTTTTGAGTTGATGACTGCATAAGCATTCCACCCTCTGCTCCCATCAGCTTCCTACAAGATTTGATAAGTACCTTGGAAACCAGTTTTGCTTGAATCAAATGTCCAATTATTCCATTGCTTTTCTCATCACGCCACTCGAGAGTCACTGATGATGGTCCAGGTATGAGTGTTGGTTTTGTTGGAGGTGGTGGGCCTTCTGCAACCAGTACATATGCAAGATAAAATCATAGGGCTTCACTACGATAATTGACCTGCGTTCGGTCCTAAAGTGACATTTCCAGTAACCTCCGTGCCTCTACCAGCTGATGTCTCGGCCCAAACAGCAAAGAAATAGGTGACGCCTTCCTCAAGATT